TGCCCCTCTCCAACTTCTCGGGTGGTGTCTGGGAGGCGCCAGCCCCGCTGCCCGTCGGCGTCCAGCCGCCTCATCGGCATGCAGACGCTGGGAGAGGGTTTGGCAAGCGCCGGGCTGAACGGCCAAGGGGTGATTTAAGGGCACGGCTGCAGCCGTCCCTTGGCAGATACGGTGTGAGAGAGACGGGTCGTCTGCGTTAAACCGCAGCTTTGTTAGGAATCACTCCTTACCTGAGTTTCTCCCAGCACATCACGGTTCTCGATGGGGAATGGATTTTGAGAAATAGAAAAAGTGTAGACTGGATCCTTAGGGAAAGTTGTAGTAATCTAAAAATCCAAGAAAGGGCGATCAGAGAGCTGCCAGCAGGAGAGGCAAGCGGGATGCGGGAAGCAAAGCTGCTGCGAGCAGCCACGGCTCCGCGACAGAGCTCAGCCCCGGCCGGGATCTGCTGACGGCTTTTAACGTTTCGACTGATCTTCCAACCAGCACAGCCCTTGGCTCCTGCCAGTCGTTTCTGACCGAAGCGGGAAGGAGATGTCCCGAGCTGGGCCCCGGCGAGCACAGCGCGACGCCGTGGAGATCACCCCTCTCTGCAAAGGGGGGTGTCGCCTTAACGCTGAGGGGTGACGGGGAAGAGCACAGTCCCTGCGTCCGGCCGTGGGGTGGCCAGGGGACTGTGCTGCTCCATTCAGGGCTAGAACAGGTGCCAAAACCCCCCCTTTGTGCCTCCCTGAACGGTCAGCCCGTGCTCTGGGGTGCAGCCCTGCCTCCTCCCTGCACCCTGTGCCAGGGAGGGGGAACGCAACATCGCACCCACGTTAATGAGCTCAGAGACGAGCGTTTGGGCCAGCTCCTAACGGTTAAACACTGTCCTGATTCTGGGGACTTTAAAGTTTTGGTGTCATTTACAGACTGCTGGGCCCCAGCGGCAAGGTCCTTTGTAAGCAGAGATGCAGAAATACCTGCCAGGACGGTTTTAACTGGAATAATGCCTTTGTTGGTTGTTGGTTGTTTTTTTTTTTTAGGAAAAAAAGAGACAAAACAAGATGCTTCAGAAATGCAGCTTTCCAGACTGCTCCTAAATGCCTGTTCCCTCAATCTGCTTTCATCTTAATTACACCCCAGGTAGCCCAGAAGCAGATGCCTTTACTACTCGAGTAATAAATACGCTCCAGCGCTGCCGCCTGGCACAGGGTGTCTGAGGGCTCCGCACAATGGGCCCGTTGTTCCGAACACGACGGTTCTCTGGGCGAGTCGCACGCCCCGGCCTCAGCGCGAGGGCTGCTCTGAGAAGTGATACACCCAGCAGATCATCAACGGGGAGGAAGGACGAGCCAGGGGGAAGCCTCGGGGCTGCCAACTTCCCTGCACCCGCGGGACACTGCCTGTGCCAGGGGCAGCTGGACCAAAGCAGTTGCTCCGGGTGGATTTAATCGTTCTTGGCATCACCTCTTCACTCCAGCAATATCATCTGTCATCCGAATTATTTCCTTTCCTGCCTTCCACGCCGTAACAGTTTCCGTTCAAGCCGAAGGGCAGAGCTGTGCCCCAGCGCCTGGCAGCGCTTGCTCACGGGCAGGCAGCAGCCCTGCTCCAGCCAAGCTGTGAACTCCCTCCCCCAAGAAAAGGCGTTTCTGTCCAACCAGTGTCTGCTGAGTCACTAAAAGGAGATGGATTCTTAATTGCTGCTAAGAGAGAGACAACTGGAGCTTTCTAATTAGCTCCCCGTGAGGCAGTGCCCGGCACACGGATCTGTGGGGCTGGCTGCTTCCCCGCCTGCGTGGCTACGGGCCAGTTTGGAGCAGGGGAAGGGCACCAGGCAGTGCCCTCCCCGGGGGGGGCAAGCACGCTCCCAGCAACACCCCGATCCCCAGCAGTCCTGCAACCACCCCAGAGCGCCCCGGCCCCTCGGTGCTAGAAACGCCGAGGGGAAAGGAGAAAGAAGGAAAATCTGTCTTGTGAATCGCCTCCCGTGGGAATTTTAGAGGTGGGTTAAAGAACTTCACTCCGCCCCGACTTACTCCTGCTGAAAGCAAACAAGTGCAGCGACTACTTACATCTATGATTAGGTACTCGACCGGCAGCGGGCGAGCCAGCTGTGTGATCTCGTTGCCAAACTTGTCTATATCCTGAAAGAAGAAGAGTCTTATTATTCCTCAGCATGGAGTGGGGGTGAAGCCCGAGAGATCCTGCCCCGGGGGAGCAGGGCGTGGGGATCCTTCGCTCTGGCAGATCTGGGTGTAGAGACGAACCTGCAGGTACGTGGCTGGGTGCTGCCCAACTCCCCGCAGCTCCTCGGGGCTAGAGATCTCTCTCACTCCACAAGCCAGAACCTCTGTTTCCTCGTGAGCCAAGGGAGTGCGTGGTCACAAACCACCTTTACCTCCGTCATCGCCACGGCAGAGGAGCCTGGCGCTATTTAAGGAGCGTGAACGCTGTTTAAGAAGCAGTACAGTCTCAGAAGGGAGGGACAGCACCACGGCTGCTTTCTCAGCCAAGGCAAAACCAGCCACGAGTCTCTCACCCAACTCTCACCCGGGAATTTGAAATCCAGGCGCTTTCTCATACCTGGACCTGAAGAGCAGCATATCACAATGCATAAACTTGTTTTGCTTTGCCAGACGAATTGAACGTAAAGTTTAATTATGGAGAAAAACGGCCAGCATATGTTCATTAATCATAAAATGACAATTAGACGTGATTTATGTCAAACATGCCGAGTTCAAACACAGCTTCAGAAATAAATTCATGAGAACTGACACTTTTCATTAAAGATTCTGTAAGAGGGGGTTGTATTTTCTACCTAAATCATCACTTAACATGTTATAAATCATTCATTGAGCCCCATATAAATCATATGCCCATAATTTCCAATCAGGGACCTTACATTAAAGTTTACGTTCACTGAGCTCTCAGAAGTCCCAGAGGCTGGAGGCAGACCCAGAGCTGCCACAGGCCGTCACCCCGACACCTCGGTGTGGCTTTGGGGGGGGCCTCAGCGAGAGGCCATGACCCCCACCCCTCCAGCAGGCCC